AATGTCTCTATGGGTACGGTCCAGTAAGCGCTACAAATGCTTTATAACGTTTCTACTTCTTTCTCTTTCTTCACTCGAATCCGAGAAATAGAACAAGAAAGAGAAACGCTGCGCAGCATTTGTAGCGGTTACTGGACCGCGCCCTTTACCAAGAGAGAATGTTCGCCCATACACGCATGTTTCCCGTTACGTTCGCGCCGCTCGCGTTTACAACCGTCACGACAATTTCGCCGCAATAAAGCCAATTTGCGCCGCGGGTTCACGCGTGTAATCACTACCGCGCGCACGACTCCTCCACTCCATTCTCCGTCGATATGTTGCGCGAGATATTATTATGTGTATTAGGCATTATCGCGCGCAATCGGCACAATTCGACGCGAGATGTAACACACGCGAGTTAGCGTGCGACTCGCTTCGAGGCTTACGTATGTAAGCAACACGTATGTAAGCAGACGTAATTATTCCCGGCCGGGCGTCGTGGACAGGAGCGCGAGAATGCAACAGCGACGCGGCGCGCCGCTAATTGCGGAAGCTATTTACGACGGTAGCTTCGCTTCGGCCGTAACGACCCAATTAATGGCGTTTAATTACTGTCCAACCTGCCGCGGCGTTTTCTCTGTCGAGGTCCGGGATCCGTCCGGATCGCGGCGTTTGTCTTCCTCTCGTGCTAGGATCGCGGGACGCACAATTTCATGCCTTCCTACGTGCATGCTGATCGGCAGTCCAGCTCACTGCATGAGTCATGAAAAAAATCGTGAATTGAAAGATCCAGACTGTGCGAGCTGCGTTGCCCGCAAGTATGCATATCAGAAGCAGAGCTGTGAATATGTTAATTAAATTTTTCCCAATTTAATAGTCGATTTGAACAAATGTGTTTCAATTCAACTAATTAACGATTGATTCGAACCAAGAATGTTTAACTGACGATTGATTTTAACGAATTCAGTTAAAGACCGTTCTGTTAACGATCGATATGAATGAAGAGATTCAAAGATCGTTCAGTTAACAATTGAATTTAGCAGATTTAAATAAGGGCCGTTTGATTGATGATTGAACTTGGCAAGTTTAATTAAAAAACATTTAATTGATGATTGATATGAACAAATTCAATCGACTCGATCAAAGCTTAAGGGAATGCTGAAGTGGATAATGAATTCGAAAAATGTCGATAACGTAAAGGCCATCATCACTGATACTATCTTTTTCGTATTTTTAGTATATATAAATCTTATATAAATGTGCTACTTTGTTTTACTGCGCAGAAAACACAACCGCCTACATATATAGGAATTTTTCTGCAGTCTTGTGATATGTTATTTTTTTTATAAGCTTGTACAATCAGTCGTAAAGATACAGAAACATTCCTTGAAATTTTTGTCCCGCGCAGCAAGCATATGCGTGGTATGTGCAAGCAGAATTTTTGTGTCAAGTAAATATTTACGCCAGCTGACAGCTTGGGATGTCAACTTTAGAATTTTTTTATCGTTTTCGTCACATATCGAGCAACGCTCTGACTAATTACCGTATATACCTTCGGCCTGTAGAAGCACTTGCAATTCTATGCAAGCAAAATACGATGTAAACTCGGCGAGAAAAGGTCGGTATTCTGTTGATGAAGTTTTCGAGCATGGCATCCCCTTAACTTCCGATAAACCGTTGATAACGTCGCGATAAAGACGCGACTTTCCTCGCGTATCTTCTACCGCGTTTGCTCTCGCAAAACGAAACGTCATAAGGCCACGCGATTATTCATTCTCGGGCACACGGTATACACCGAGTGTCCTCCAACTTTAATTCGATGCATTCATTCGCAGGAAAGAGGTGGAGGGATTCCCGGTCCGAGTGCCATCGTAGTATCTAAGGTGTATTGAATATTAATTTGGACAAAAAGTCCAAGCCACGCGCTTGCCTTTCGCAGTCCGGGGACCTTGCGCGTGAATTTCGTCATTGTAGTTTTCAATTAGTTAGAGAGATGAGAGGAGGCGACAGATGTTGTGTCGAGTAGAGGGAGAGATTACGCTTCGTCTTCTCTCCTCTTTAGATCAAGCTTACGGATTTGCGAATGATACTGTACACGGGAGCACACGCACATCGGATTACCGTTACGTCACCGGGGCCCGTAACGTGTGTAATTCTCACGACGCACACACGCGACGGATCTCTCGTCAAGCGTGGCACTTGCTGCGGGTGGTTGTTCCGCCTATCCGTGTGTGACACGTGTTACACGTCCTCCCCGCGGCAGTCGGCCGCCGTTCGGCAAACAGTGTAGCTTCAATTATGATAATCAATTGGAGGAGAGCCGCGAGAGAGGCAAACAGAATTTACATGCGATATAAATCCGACGCGTGAAACGCATTTCGACAGTGCGGGCGAAGGATTGCAATTCCATCTGGTCGACACGCGTACGCTGAGAAAAAAGATATTTAAGAATTAACAAATATTTATTAGGCGGGCAGCATTAAGGCAAAACTCTTTTCATTTAAAATAAATAATACCAAAATCTATTATTAATTAATCTATTATATTAGTAAAAAGTGGAAAGGCATCCTATACTCACATCAGACGTTTATTAATATCTCTCTCGCTTGCTTCTCGCGATTAACTAAGATAGATTAACTATGATAGATTAATTGAGATACGCCTGATACTTCTGGACTTTAGAGAGAAAAATATTTATTTAAGATTAAGATTTATCTAATACTGAGAAAAAAAAGGAAGATTTGAAAACTTACTTGTGGGATATAAAACTTATATTGACACAGAAATGTCATTTCGCGAAAGTATATAAACTTCACTTTACGGAAATGAACTTTATACACCACAAATAAAATTTTCCGTATTTTTCTCAGTGTCCAAATAACACTCAAATATGTCTGTATGTGTGCAGACGCGGAAAATTCGTTTCGTCAGCTTTTCCCGATCTCTTCAGTTCAATGCGCTGTCAAAGTTTCCCGAAAATTTCCCTCACCTATTGTCAATGATTCTGGTCACACCCTGTCAGTGTCCTCTTCTCGCCGAGAACTCTAACCATTAACGTTGAATAAACATACAAAAAAGAGAGGTTCACGTTAACCTCCGATGCACGTGTCAAGGACATCGCGGTGCCGGGGCCTCACATCCTGGCCCGGATCGAGAGCAACAGGATCGAGAGCGCGTACGTAGGTACTCGCCACGCACGCACGCACGCACGCATGCACTCACGCACGCTCGCACGCACGCACGCATGCACGTACCCCGCGAGCGCGAGCCCCGAGCTCACCTCCTCTTCTTCCTTCCTCAATGGGCTTTCGAGCGAGTGGACCATGACGCCCGCTCGGTGGGAGATCCCGAAGAAACCTCGGCAGGGGGAGGACCAAACACGCGCGCGCGCGCGAGCTCGGAGAACAGCGATATATGAAGGCGAAACTCGCGCACGTCGCGCACTCGATCGCCCGGAAAGTCTCTCTCTCACACGTGGTGGGCATCACTCCGGCAGGAAGCGGCGGTCCTCCGCTTTTCGTGGTGGTTTTCAGGTCCTCCTCTCGTGGAAACGTCCCGTCTCGTGTCGGCATCTCGAACTGCTCGCACGGTAACAAGGCCGTGAATCCCGGCGCGAGGACACACACGAAGACGAGGAGGTTGCTCGCTCTGTAGCCATCGTCGAGTGCGAATTTTATCCGCCCTTCATCGCGCAGAACGTCCACTCGAGCAGGACTCGAAGGAAGTGGTCGGGGGTGGTCGATCTATCTCGTTGGTACCAGACCAATCATGAGCAAACCGTGGAAAGGTATGTGGTGTGAGAGGGAAAGTCAGCGGTTGAACGTTGAAGAGGAGGTTGAAGAAGCTCCCTGGGACAATGTGAATCGGGGTGGTACGTTTCTCGTTTACGTCGTGTCGAGGATGATGACGAGAACGGAGAACAGGAATGCTCGGCCGGAGTTCATTAAGGATGCGCCGTCGATGCTGGCAGGACCGTAGACCGTTGGCAGCGATTTGCATAAAAGAGAAAGAAAATATTGTTTCCATTTTGGCATACTGAACAGGAGCGCTGGAGAGTGCGGCGGTGTTTTTCTATTTTACGTAAGATCGTCTCGGGGACGATAAGAGATGCGCGAATATTTTGTCTTTCTTTGTCTCTTTTGCGCGCTATACGTGTTCGGAGGAGGACGGTCGATTAACGGCGACACCACGTCGGTCGGGCAGAATTCAAGGTAGCACCGCTCGTGACGGTGCATGGAGAGGAAGACGTGCGTCGTTTGTTGACTGAATAGTAAATTACACAGGCAAACTGCGCGGTTCCGCCGTCGCGATCCAGAACACGGCCGGCGTACCAGGTGTCGCGTAATTCAAAATGCGAGCGTGGAAAATTCCACGACTCGGGCGACGATTCAAAGTCGGACAGCGGGAATGGGATATTTCCGCAGGCCAGTGCTTGGCGACACATTAACGAATTGCGGATTACGTTATCGCTCGCTAACAGAGTCATTTGGCAGAAACTCGCCATCAAGACTTGCTCGAGAACGCCTCGCCATGGAGTGTGCGTGAAACACCATTTCGCGACTTTTATCTGGTACTAGTTTCACGCATTTCTTTCGGGCGCGATACACCGGCACCTTTTAATCGCGTCTGTATACACAGTATCCACTTCATTGCGCTCGAAAAGGCCGCCTGGACACGTGTTCCTCTGATATCTTGATTAGAACACGATGAGGGGAGATCCCCTTCCATTTGCCTTTATTATAACATTAGCTCGCTCCACTCGAATTCTTATGCAATTATCTGATGTATTAGATTAAGAGATTATCTAACATATTAGATTTATTTGTCCGAGGCTCTCTCTCTCTCTCTCTCTCGCGTTGTTGATCTAATCATGCACACATATTTTGTGAGAATTACAACTCAAGCTTACGCGGCTCTCCGCCACGAATGTGCCACGGAAGTCCGATTTCGACGAGTCGTCGCGCAAAATTCGGCCAGCCGATTCGCGCACGGAAGTCACCAATATATTTTCTGCTCTGCAGGCGTGAAGGAGTTCGTCGGCCTGGAGGAGGTCACCAAACTGGACTTTCTGGTGATGCTGTTCGCCGAGACCCTGGGCACATTCCTGCTAGTCCTCATAGGATGCGCCTCCTGCATCACGTGGGTGGCTGCGACGCCGCCGACTGTCCTGCACATCGCCTTCACCTTCGGCCTCGCGGTAGCGAGCTTGGCGCAGGTGAGTCCTAAAATCTATGCATTCACATAGTGCGTGCATGCGAGACGCGGGAACTGCGATTGTCCGATTTTCACGAAACAAGACGCGCTCTCCTCGGCTCGAGGAGATGTGAAACCAGCGGAGTACTTAGTGACGCGTTTTCTTCCTCATTTTCATCGTCTCGCGCCTCTACGTCATAACAGACGAGTCTCGCGAGTGAGGTAAAAACAACCGTTCTCCATTAAAAAGCGATTAGGATTCAGACGTTATAATTAATCCGCGTTGTGAAGACGCAAATTGATAATGGACGTGGCGCCGTCGTTCAGCGACGGTTAAAAACGCAGAACGACGCAATTCCGCGAGGAGAAAAAGAGAACTTCGGGAACTTTTCGTGGGGAATTTCGGATCGCAGGAGGATTCTGAAGGCGTCTTCCAATAAAAGATTTCGCGCGCGTCATTATCCTCGAGCATATTTTAATCGTCCACTCCAGCAAATTTGCATTTCACGAAGACGCCACACGAAAAAACACGCGTGACGCGATTAAGTATTAATTAATATACGGCCGGGTCGTGTCTCGGCTTCTTGTAAAACACATCTGCCGTTTGCGTCTCGAAATCGCTAAACGGACCGGAGCGTTTGCTCCTCGACAGTGAAACAACGAAAGTGAGATAAATCTCACGTAGCGTTCCGCGTGTTTTACAGCAGTTGTAGGCGCCGAAGTATACATCCTTATCGTCGCCTTTATAGCGATGCCGTAATAATGATAACATTGCGATGAATATTTCATCGTTGCCTCGTTATTAATGAACAATGAAATAACATAATCTGTTCGTTCGTGATAGTCAAAACTGCTTATCCTTAAGCGTGTCCCTAGCGCGCGTTACACTGAGAAAAAAGGACTCGAAAATTTATTTACAGGATAAAGTTTGCTCGCATAAATAAACTTTATATATTACCAATAAATTTCCAACTATTTTCTTTTCAGTGCATTCAAAATATTGAGAGTAATAAGTATTATTTATTTATTTATTTAATTAAATGGGAATGTCTTTTTGATGTATAGAAAATAGAAACATAGAGACAACGTAATGTATAAAAAGAATAACGCGACGATAGGACCACATACGTTTTATTCGAACACTCTGTAGTTCGAGAAGCGAAGTGGGGGCTCCATTCACCTGGCTAAAATTTCACGACCGGAGCCGGTCGCCTAATCACTCTCACTCTCGTTCCGTGAACCGAGCTTTTTCCTCGTCGAGAATCGCCGAGAGAGAATCGCTCGCCCACAGTCTTTATTCATATTGTCGTGTACCTCAGACAACAACGCGTTGCGCAACCGTGATCCTTCAAAATTTCACAGAAGAAACACCGGTGACAGCGGAGGAACCTTCTTGAGGCATTGATAAACTCATTTCCTTCTTGAGGCATTGATAAACTCATTTCCTCCTAATTAAGAAGCAAATTTAATCAAACTCGATCGCACGACAAGTGGCGATTCGTTTGAATTTTCCTCGCGGAGGATCGCGGAAAATCGCGAGAATCCGCTCGTGCAAAAGACCGGTTGTGCGATTCCGATCGAAGCTCCCCGAGTCGAAATTTTGATTCTACTTTCAGCCTTATTATTCCATACGCAAAATAATGACTTAGTAATATCAGTTAAACCGCGATAGTTGATTCAAATTCAGTCAAAATGTTAATCGCTGTTACTGCTAAGAATTGACTATGACAGCTAAAATGCATTCGCTATGAAATACAAATATATTAGGTGATATTAAAAATGCATATTATTTCAAATGACTAAGAAAATGGCAGTTATTTCTAAATTTCTTATCGTATGCATATATTAAAGAAGTTTGCCGCACAGCTACAATCATTTGCTACAGTCATTTGTTTCTAGCAGCTAATATTTCTCGCTGTAGTGCCTAAGTTTAAACAGCGAATAAATTTAGCTTCGATAGTATCGACATTAGCTGTCCCTATTTCAGTGACACATCTTATCTGTCACAGTTATTTTTTAACTCTAGAAGCTAGTTCTTTTTTTGCGTGCATTCAACACCTATTTTGATATTCTGAAATATCAACTTACATCAATTTTTTTACTTTCTTCTACTTTCTTACTTTCAGTCTCAATGTTCTATTCAATATCTATTTTGATATTCCAAAATATAATTTAACCCATTTTGCAAAGAAAGTGAAAAGTGACATTTCGGATATCATCAAAATAAATCATCAGAATAAATTGTATCATCAGAATTAAACCCACTTTGCTAATTTAGCTAATTTAGCTGCTACTGCGTTGTAGAATTCAAAGTTTAACATAGGGTCAAAATTTCGACTTGGGTCTATCGTTCTGGAAAAGATCGGAGGGGCTATGGATGAGGTGAGGTCGATCGAGCAGCGCCGGTAAGGCCAGCAGGCAATCTTTAATCGCGACGCGATTGAGGTGAGAGATCGAGATACGTCGCGGGGGCATCCGTTCGCGATATCGATAGCCAACGGTGCCATTCGTGCGCGATCAATCCTTATCGACGGGGAGCGGCTGAATTGGCCGCTTGCGAAATAATCGCGGGGTCGAAGCCGCCTCTTCCGATTTTATCTGCGTAATCGTCTCCTTCGATTTCGCGTGCTTAATGCTGCGCCCGCGCACCGTTCCTGCGAAGATCGGTCAGGCCTGCACGCGAAGACTCCTCCGCACGCGAAATTCCTCCCTCTCGACCGGCAAATCTCAACGGCGGATACTTGACGAGTGTCACTCGGGCGTTCTGCCGGGCGACACGAGATCGTCGGTCGCGCGCGAAGGCATTATTAAAGGTAGATAGACGGACGAGAGAAGGATCATCTTTAAATCCCGCCCGGCTCGTCCTTTCGAATTCGCGGGGCTGACCTCGTCCTCGAAACAATTTATGGCGCGCTGTCGACACGCAAACTTTCGGCGAGCGTGTCGGCTTGTCGATTTGTGTAGAACGCTCGGCCAGCCTCCATGTATCAATCAGGATCCGCGCGACAATTATGAAGATGTGAATGGGTGCCGTCAGTCTAGTCGGCCGGCGCGGATGTTTCCGCGAATTGTCGCAATCGAGCGTGGGAAGTCCGGAATGAATCTCCTCGAATGAATCGGATTTCATTTTTTGCGCGTTGCTCGAAAAACTGGTCTCAAATAAATAAACAGATTGACGATTGCGCGGAGAGAATATTATAATTCTTTCTTTTTCGCTTTTACGTTTCTCTATGAGATTGTTGTATAATTCCTGTCATATTTTTTTTGATAAAATTAAAATTCATCTAATTTTGAGAAATATTTTATTTAATTAACACATTGCCACATTATTATCTAAAACTGATTTCTAGACGAAAGGGCAATAATTTACTGCAGAATGTTGAACTCGCTGACAAAATCCCACAGTGATCTTTGCTCAATTAATTCTCTCAGTGTACTCTCTAAGTTTCTTTGAGCGAAAAATGACAGTATTTTCGCTCGAGACGGCATTGATAATACTGCCACTCGAAACCACAAGAGTGAATGTTCCGCTCAAGCTCAGTGCGGATTCTGACTCCGTATGAGCGAACGTTACAATCGATTGGAGCGAATATGCTCCTCCTCTGACGGCGGAATGCATCGGACTCCCTCTTCAATGTCGAGTGAAAATATTCACTCGACGACTCGGAGTGGAGAATTCGCTCTGTAGGAGCGAAAAATAACTCAAATTCGCGTGACTCGGCCGAAGTCACTGGGACTTTCGAGCGAAATTTCACTTGAAAAAACTTAGAGAGTAGGTTCCCTCTGCTCCGACAGAGAGATGCAAATTTTCGCAATGAGCGCGGCCAATATTCGCAATTAGACCGGACTTGTGATTCGGAAATCGCCACTCGAGACTGACTGATGTGTTCCGTGGTGACTCAAGAGCGAGACCGAAAGTGCGAGAGCTTCGGTTTAGCCACGAGGCGACGATTTTAATTGAAGCGCGCGCGTGCGCGTGCGCACATACACACGCATGCAGGCACACACTCGCGTGTGGGCTCGCTCGCGCGAGCGGGCCCCGCCGTGGAAGGGTAAATAAGGCCGCCGGTTCGCCCAAGGGGGTCTAACTCTGTCCGGAGATGGTGCAACTCTGCCCCGAAGGCTCTGACAACCTACTCGAGAGAGCTCCGCGCCGACGGAGCAGCACACTCTTATTCCGTGTGCGTCGCCCTTTTGATACTTCACTTCACTTTCCGACAGCCCGCGGCGCGGATACGAGTGTCTACAGGGTGCCCCAGAATTCGCACGGTTCCTTTTCCTTTATTTCTTCTCTCTTTTTTTGTCTGTTCTGTTTCGTTTGTCTCCTGGGAGATCCTCGCGAGATGAAAGACAGCACGATGAGAAATTAACAAACGGATATGTGTCTAATCAATTTTTATATCCGAACAGGATATTCAATTAAGGCTCCTGGCCCCTCGCATTGTCTGTCTCTTTTTAATGACGTCAGAAGCGAGAAAATGCACGCTAAAAATTCTTGCGAAGTATGTTGAAAATATATATACATAAAGTAACACTTGCAATCGATTAAACAGATTTATAAGATATTCCGTGCACTCCCCTTTTGCTCTAACAATCAATAATTTATTGTAAATTAATTTGAATAGAAATAGGCGAAGAAATAGGTTAAAAAGATGAATTGTACGAGTATGTCATGTTAATTTATGACAAATTATTGATTGTTAGAGCAAAAAGGGAGTGCGCGGAATATTTTACAAATTTGTTTAATCGATTGCAACTGTTACTTTATGAATATATATTTTTATTTTAACGTTTTTCGCAAGAATTTTTAGCATGCATTTTCTCGCTTCTGACGTCATTAAAAAGAGATAGACAATGCGAAGGGCCAGGAGTCTTAAATTTAAATTGGATTATAATGACGTTTTATCGGATAAACCGATGAAAAAGTTATAAACCGATATTTTTCATCGGACGTTTTCTGACTGGATACAAAAATTTATCAATAGTTTAATCGGAAATATCCGTTTGTTAGTTTTTTATCGA